GAAAGGTTACTTTTGCCCCCAACACAGAAAGGACTCTGTGAACAAAAGCAGTCCAAAGACACTGCCTCTGAAGGCAGAGTGTTTTCCATGGGGCTCCAGGGCTGTGCTCGGAAAGTCTAGCTCCTTGAGGTCCTGTTTGAGGGTTCCGCCAGGAGCATGCAGCTGCTTGTACATACTGGACCCTGCCAAAGGCAGGCCCTCGGCTATCGGGGAAAGTCACCCTCTTTGACTGAGCATGTCACTTGGCAAAGGATGTACACAGGGAGGTGAAGGAGGATGTGGACACCCATCTAGCCAGTCAGATCAGACCAATCAACCACAGTGATCAACTGGGTGAAAGATGCTATAGCCGGATTGCCCTCACATCCAAAGTTTAGTTCCTAGGATCCTCCTTCGAAGTCCAAGAGGTCTGGCAGTCCTCAGCATTGGAAATTTGAACATATTTTCTCATGACCTACCCCCATAACTAGTGCATATTTAGCCACAAATTAAATAAGTTACAGAGATGAAATTTGCCTCCAAACTATAAAGTCCCTAAATGGAATTTGATAGGAAAGGGTTGTTACATGTACATTTATTTCTATGAAGCATAAAGTTACCCAAATATATATTTCATAACACTAAACACAGTTCAAAATGTGAATACTACATTTAAACACTCTTAACATCGTATTTGCCAAAGGTAATTATTTCCAAACAGATTCTCATGCTCAACTGAAAAAGCATTCTAGCATTCTTCCTGTGTTAGTCACTGTGTGTCACTGTTACAAAATGCCTGATATAAACTATTTAAAGGGGCAAAAGGTATATTTGGGCTCATAGTCCCAGGTTTCAGTCTACCATGGCAGAGAGGATGTGGTGGAGTAGAGCCCCTTACACACACAGCAACCAGGAAGCTGAGAGAGGGAGAGGACTGGTCCAGGTGAGTCTACCAAAGGCAGAAACAAGAAAGGCATGTCTGTGACCCTCCTGAAGTTCACACACACACACACACACACACACACACACACACACACACACACACCACCATTAGCACCAAGTGTCAAACACATGAGTCTGTAAGAGACATTTCTCTTACAAGACAAGTCATAAAACTTCCTTATCCTTATTCTTTACAATTTCATTAATATACCCCAGATTTTAAGTGGACCTCTTCTCTGGCCTGTCGGGATAAATTTGGCAAGTTAGCCCTAATTGGCTCAGGCTAAGGAGTTTGACTTTTGTGTGCTTTATGAGTTCTACCTTCCCCGGAAGGCAGAATATACACAGGAGAAATATGAAGTTTCTCAAGCAGTGTACTGGGATAGCTCCAGTTCCTGAGATGGACATGACAGGATGGCTTTTGAATGACAGCTCTCTCTAGACAATTATCTGAATGAAGTGAACCCACCCCCCTCCACCACAACCATCCAAAGCAGAGCGCTCTATGAGATACATCTGGCTAGGAAACTGCTCTGGACTCAACGCTCCAGAAACTGTTATGTTAGAAAGTTATTACTCTCCTAGGAACAGCTGTCCCTCTTTCCTTTGAAAACAGATGGGGAGTCTGCTTTGATAAGATTGTTTGGTTTCAACAATCAATTGACATGGTGTCTCCACGGAATGTCACTTTGTTCCAATGGAGGAAAGAAAACTCAGTCCATGAGCACAGAAGACAAGCAGGTGCGGTGGCACACACCTAGAAGCTCGGCACTGAGGCTGAGGGCACACTGCAAGTCCAAGGCCAGCCTGGTCTACATAGTGAATTCTAGGCCAGCCAGGGCTATATATATTGAGACCCTATCTCCAAACTAAACAGGGCCAGCAAGATGGGGCAGGAGGTAAAGATGCTTGCTACCAAGTCTGAGGATCTGAGCTTGATCCCTGGGATCCACCTGGTAGAAGAAAAGAACTAATTCCTGAGAGCTGCCTTCTGACTTCTACATATGGGGCACGCGCGCGTGTGCACACACACACACACACACACACACACCACCAAAATTTTAAATAAATGCAATAATTCCAAGAAAGAAAAAAGACAGAAGACCAGAGTCTGGCTGTCCCTAGGTAACTCCTTTTCACTAGACAAGTCTCTAACATCATCATCATCATCATCATCATCATCATCATCATCACCCTCACACCGGAATCAGGGAGCACAGAGTCAAAAGAGTAAGGGAAATTTGTAACTTCAGCCTCACACTGCTTTGAGCCTCAGCTAAAGTTCCATGTTAAGAATGTCTCCTTTTGCAAGTGAGGAATGGGCTTAAAACCTAGAGTTTCCAGCTAGTAACAATGGTTCTGAGGCTCCATCCCCCAATCTCAGGCACACAGAGATTGCTACTTTATTATTTCATAGCATTCTAGAGAATGAAATAAGATAAGTGTCCAAGAGCTCTATATAAACTGTCACACATGTGTAAGGCACTATTGAGATCAAGCTTTGCATTTTCTACAGCGATGTCCACATATTTTCCAGTTCAAAAACATTCCTGCTTGAACAAAGCCCCACAAACCTCCTCTCCGGTCCACCACATCATACACAATCAGCTGGATAAATGGGCAGATGACTATCGTAGTATTAGAAATGATCTATGAGTTTAATTAAATATCCTAACAAATGGATATATTTACACAGCACGGGCCACACTTCGAACCTCTTAGAAGAAAGACTCTAATTAGGCAGGACATACAGTTGCACTAGGAAACAAATATGGTTCTCAGAATCTAATCCCTCATCCAAACCAAACATTATCACTCTAAACCATGCTCTCAATTGAACATATGCATCATGTCGTCAGTTGTACCAGCCTGCTACAGCCGAGCCCCAGCATTCCCCTAAGCAGATGCAGGAGGGGACAGACATGGCAGGGTGGCAGGGAGCTGCAAGGAGGAATGTGCTCTTGAAACAGCACTAGCTTGATGAAGTTGAAGAACCAACTCCTGGCAACAGCACTTTAGAGATAACTGTACCTTCCTTCCCACCTCCACCGTTTAACAAGGCAACTCATTGTTCTCACCACCTACTGAAAAACCTGATTTAGTGGGGGTGGGGAGGAGCCAGTCCTCAAAAGTCCAGGACCTAACTAGGCCTTCTGTGTTAGAATAGCTGTCCCTATCAAATAACAGCCCACACCCAAAAGACTATTCTCGACTGAATTCTCCCATAAAGTTTAATCTTGTGTTTGGACACCACCGGACCCAGGAAATATATAGATAGATAGATATAGATATAGATATATAGATATAGATATAGCCTACAAAAAGTATATGTTTTTCCCTATAATGTAATGTACTTTAAAAAACAAGTTCCCATTCCTAAAATGATTGTTGTGGAAAAAGAGAAAATGCATGGACTCATTTTTTCCTGTCCCTGATGTGGGGCTTCTCTGCACTCATTTGGAAATGCGCCCATTTCAATTATTTCCCAAAAATGACTATGGGTCTGAGTACACGAATCTGCTAATGATTTGAAGGAGGGCCATGTCCAGTCAAAATACAAATAGCATCCATGTAGAAAGGCGCAGCTCAAATAACCAAACACAGGATCACTCCTCAACCCCCAGAAAACAAGCAGTCCACTAGGAACAATAACAGCTGTATGTTAGTCTGAGAGAACCTCCCACCAACACCCTCTTCAATTTAAACCACGGCTTAACTAGTGAACTCCCTTTCAGTCCAGAACGTCTGAACATCTGTGAACAGTATTTCATGTCACTTTCGGGAAGAGGGAAGTAGGAAATGACAGCCCAAGGAGAGACATTATACAATTAAAATCCACAACCAATTCTCCGTAAAGTGAAGAAATAGAATCCAACTTGATTTCATCCCAACCTGACTCCCACCAGTCCTCAGTTGCCAGTACTACAGTCACAAAGGTAGAACCAGCCCCCTGTGGTTCCCATCCTGGAAAAAGAAAAAGTAAACAAACAGCTCTTACACGAGTCTTTGGCCAGCAGGGATTCCTGGGTGACTGTTTTGATACACAAATCGCTAACTCTCACCGTGTCTAAGAGGTCTCTAACTCATTAAAACATCTTATGGACTTGCAAACACAGACAACCAAGTTTGGAAGCATTTCCAGCTCCCCGTATGAGAAGCTTGAGGAGCGATTAGCATGCCGAAGAATAAGATCAAAGCCAACAAACCGAGCAAACAAATTGCATTGTGTAAAGCATAAGAGCTGTGTTGTTTAACAGGGCTCTTGATCCCAGGTAAAGCCTTCCGTGGGAGAAAGGAACCATTAACCCTAGCAGACCGTTCAGACGTGGCAGAGCTTTACATAATTGTAAATAACAGCAGCATCAGGGGAACAACTGGAATAAACGTGGTCTGCAAGCTGCTAAAGCGCCAGGCGCTTCTCCTTCACCTCGGCCCCTGCAGCTAGGCGGAGAAAGCAGCCGCCTTGCCTCGCGGAGCAACCCTCCCCTAGCTCCCTCCCCTCCCCTCCCTTCCCCTCGTCTCCCCGCCCCCAGCTGGTGTATTCAGCAGCCTAGGGAGATTAAGAGGTGCTCGCTAATGTCACCGAGCCTCCAGACGGATCTAACGTTTCTTAGCTCCCTGGACCAAAGAAATTAGAGACGTTACACCCCGTGGTATTAGATGCCGTGGCCTACAACCCAGCCTCTCCCAGCCTGGGCCGGGGACGCACGCCGCCGGGTTGGAGGACTGCGCCACGGTGGCCGCTACCTGAGCTGTCCGTGGTGCTGGCGCGGTGCGGAGGCTGCCGGGCGGGACTGCGCGCCGCACCCGCGGTCACCCTCTGCGTGCCAGCCGCCGCGCCCCGCGCACTCGAGTCCCCGTGACTGTCCACCAGCTGCAAAGATTCATAACCATCGCTGCTGGTCTTTTTCCGGTAGCTCCCGAGGAGGCTCATGGGCAAGCCCGCAGAAGAGGGGAAAGAAAAAGAAATCAACCTGGGAAAGAAAGGGGGAGGGGAAGGCGGGACAGAGAGGGATGCAAAAAAAAAAAAATAATAACAATAATAATCAAGTGCCCGACATGACGCGAAGAGGAGGGGAAGGAGGGAGCGGCCACCGGGAAGGGCTCGCAGCCGCCGCCCCGGGGCACAACGCGTGTAGCCGGCCCGGCCACCCGTAGGTTGGACAGCGCCCGAGGAAGTGTAGGTATAGCCGGGCAGCAGCCGGGCAGCTCCCGGAGTGGCTGGAGGGGGAGGGAATAAACAGAAGCGAGTAAAGGAGGGGAGAATCGAAGGGAGGGAGGCTGAAAGCGGAAAACGGGGCGGGGCGGGATGGGGAGGGGACCGCGACAACGCGGAGGGAGGGGTGTGTCAGCGCGCGCTTGCTTCAGAAAAAAAAAGGGGCGGGGGGGGGGGGAAGGAAGGTGTCTCAGGCCGGGTGAGCCTGGGAGACAGGGCACTATCACAGAGAGCCAGGCAGGCCCATTTCATGTAATTCGTCTTGTCTTTGTTGGAGGATTCGGCAAGTAAAAGCCGCCTGGGTGGTGATCGACCTGGTGGACTGGCTGGTAACTCCAGTAGGAGGGGGGAAAGAATCGTGCTGATGGCAGACCATTTGTGTACTCAGAGCAGAGCAGCATCTCTGCACATTCCCCGCACGGGATGAGATGTGGACATGAGAGAACATGTGCACTTCCAGGTCTCCTACCCTTTAACTAGGAACTGGGAGAAAGGCCTCCCCAACTCAGCTGGCTTGAGGGATTTCTGGAAAGGAAAATACACCAGGTTTTCTTTCCATCCTCTAGCCTCTTTTTCTTTCACGGTTGTAGACAAGGAAAAAAACGTCATTATTGGAAGGGCTCTGTCACAAAGTTAATTAAGCTGGAGAGCCAAAGCCCCCTTCTTGAGGAAGGCTCGGCAAGCCTGTCTGCCTCGCCATCCACTTGTGATGCTTGTATTCTTAAAGAGGCCCCCAGCACTGTGCCAGTGTCAGACCTCCACACTCTAGATAGAAACTCTGTTCAGTCTCAAGATGCAATCGCCCAATGTTTGTTTTCACCTGATAGTATTTCAGAAGGCTCCCTCCTCAGCTCAGGTGAAAGACTAGATAAAAATGTTGACTTAAGAGGATCATTTTTTTTTCTCTCTCCTGGTACTTGGATAAGGTAAAATGAAAAACTTTTAGAAGCACTCTGACAGTTTCCTGTGATACAAGAAAAAAAGTGCATGTGTGTGCAATGTGTATGGGCACAGACACAAAGCCGGCTTGACCCGCTTCTTGGTTTACATAGGTTTCTCCTGCTGTTATTATTTTGATCACATCAGGACACACAAAAAAAATCAAACAACAGCAAGTAAGAGTCTTCCATCCAGATCATCTAGAATCTAAAGTCCCTGGAAACTCCAGCTCCTCACAGGCCAAACACAATAAATTCACTGGCTTGACGGGCATTTTCTTGTTCAAAGATGACACAGACACACATCCTGTGGGTAGAGAAGGAGTCTGAAGAGGTCAAGGATGCTGGGTGCCAGAACCCTTCATCCCTTCACCACTCCCTGTCCAGTGTGTTCCCATCTGCTGAGGTGGAGTGTGACCAGAAGCTGAAGCCATAGCTAATGCTTGCTTATAACAACTTTGAATGGTGGCAGGAAAAACTGAGATATGATTTTAAACACAAAGGCTTTACTTTCAAACTTGCAGATCTGTAAGCCTGAGCGATTTTGGTTACTTCACTGAAGCAATAACTTTTAAAACCTAGTAACAAAATAGTTTCCAATGGTATTTAATAATCTCTTTCCGCATGTTCTCAATTCATTACTGACCCACAGGGAGTATAAAAATCTCATGTCCATCATCCGTGGACTTTGGCAGATGCTGGCTTTATAGTCACTAAATTTAGAGAATTCAGAGACAACCATTTCTGAAAGTGAAAACTATTGTTTTCAAAGGGAGCCCTTTGGGTTATTTTTGCTACACTTCAGAATTGCAAGCACATTGGTAAAAGAAACTGAGACATATGCCTTTGTATTTTTGGATATCTATCTCCCAAGTTTGAAAATTTAAAGAAAGCTATGAATGGGCTAGACAGCATTTTTTTTTTCCTTTTCTGGGACAGAACCCAGAATCTCAAATATGGTAAGCAAAGGATGTACCACTGAGCTACACCCTGGGCCATATCATCTTATTTTTTTAGCTTTACAGTTAACATAAACTAAATCAATCAGAATAACTATTAATATTTCTACAAAGCTGGGCTATAAAGAACACAGGAAGACTACACTATCTAGATTAATTTACAACAGCCTGAAGTCTAGAGTTTGAAGACCAACTTGGAATATGTACCAACTTAACTCTAACAGATTCCTAAAAAGCTCACTTCCCCCATGAAGATCTTTCTGCTCTGCACTAGCAAGTGTACAGTATACAACAACTAGCATGACGGAGCTGAAGAGACAAACAGGACCTGATCCAGTCATCTATACCGAGCACATAATTGTCTCCTGTTGTCAGTCCGCTGGCCTGTCTTCAAGGACAGCTCTGTCCTGTGCCTTTGCAATCCCAGTCCCTCCCATGATTGCAGTTGAGAGGAAAGTGTTCTTTTCTCCAGAAGCAGAAGATAGAGAGGTGTCTGTGTTACTAGTAAGAACTTGGTGAGGGGTGGGTGGATGGAGAGATGGTTCAGCTGATAAAGGGCTTCCTCCTGAGCATGAGAATCGACATTTGAGGGGGAGCCGGGGGAGGGGAGTTAGGGATTCAGATGTGGTGGTTCAAGTTTATAATCCTAGCACTGGAGAAGTGGAGAAAGGAGGAACCCTGAGACTCTAGACCAATGAGAGACCCTGTATAAACAAAAATAGAAAGTTCGGCGGACCACACCTAAGAAAACACAGCTGAGATCAAAACCAACTACTGACCACACATGTGCACTTGCACGAGCACACACACACACACACACACACACACACACACACACACACACACACACACACAAATAATAATGATGAGAACCTGAGCTTCAGAGAGGGAGGTAGTACTGGTAAAAGCTGAGGTGAACATGTACACCTACTCTGATGTTTCTTAAGATCAAGGCTGATTTATAAAGGCTGGAGACATGGCTTAATACTCTTTCGGAGTACTGGAGTTTGGTTCCCAGCGTCCATGTTGGGCAGAAAACAACTGACTATAACCCCAGTTCCAGGGGATCAGATGCCCACTTCTGGCCTACATACACACACACACACACACACACACACACATACACACACACACACACACACACACACACAGATAGCTAAAAATGCAATTGCCAAGTGTGGTGGCACACACCTTTAATCCCAGCACTCAGGAGGCAGAGGCAGGTGGATCTCTGTGTGTTCAAGGCCAGCCAGGTCTACATAGTGAGTTTCAGGCCAACCAGGGCTACACAGTGAAATCATACCTCAATATAAATAAATAAATAATTTAATGAAAAACTAACACAATGCTCCATAACCTATTTTATCTCAAGAATAAAATATCGCATATAGGGACGTACACAAAGGACTGGACGTCCCCTTTGGGGTGACTCTTCAGTTGATTTCACTAACTCCATGATGGGTGTCCACACTGAGAGATGTTCAGTCTCTCTTCCTCCATACCCCCAACCAAAGTTCTCTCCTGAGCAAATATCAGCCACATTTGGCAGTGAGGCTACCAAGTGAAGGTAAGCTGAGACCATACACCCTTTCACTTCTGGGAACAGTGATGGAGAACGAGGTTCTGGAACCAAACCACGCAGCAATGAGTCCAAGGCACTCGGGCTCTGGCCAGATGACCTAATCCGTCTTACTTTTCCCATGGAAAAGGAACATGCTTCCATTATAACAAGGTCGAAGTGAGGATTAAGTCAATTTTAAAATATTTTTTTAATGTAGGCATATGTGTGGATGCCATGTGAGTGCAGAGATAAGAAGACATCCTTGGTGCTAGAGTTATAGGGTTGCCGGTCTCCCAGTATGGGTTCCGGAAACCGAACTAAGGTCCCCTAGAAGATCAGCAAGCTCTCTTAACCACTGAGCCACCTCTCCAGTCCTTAAGTAAATTATTACCGGATAGAAATGCTTAACAAGGCCGGGCGGTGGTGGCGCACGCCTTTAATCCCAGCACTCGGGAGGCAGAGCCAGGCGGATCTCTGTGAGTTCGAGGCCAGCCTGGGCTACCAAGTGAGTTCCAGGAAAGGCGCAAAGCTACACAGAGAAACCCTGTCTCGAAAAACCAAAAAAAAAAAAAAAAAAAAAAAAAAAAAAAAGAAATGCTTAACAAATACTATTATCATTACCTATTATTTCTACAACTACTATCATATAAATGACTTATTGCTATATTTCCAACTATTACTGTATTTTATACCTCATTAAGTCACTTTTTCAAAGATGCGAATAATTTCCTATCTTTAAAGTTAAACTAAAGCCTGTCCTGCTTTATTTGTTATCATTTTGATAGATGATAATGTAAAAAGCATTTTGTATAAGGTAAAGTGATTTTTTTTCTGCCTTGGGTTTTTACATGTCTGCGGGCCTATTTTTCCAGTTACATTTGGAGTATTTATGAAGGGAAGTCCATGTTTTCCTTGTGTTCCATGACAACCAGAGAGTACCCAAACAGTTAGTAAATGCATAAATAGTAAGCAAATACTAAATTAAACAATTAGTGAACAAACAAAAATAACTGTATCATTTCCTTTTTGCATTTGTGTGTGTGGTGTGCTCATGTATGTGTTTGCATATATGTGGGTGCAAATGTGTGGGGTGTACATGCAGAGATGCAAGGTTGACATCAGGAATCACCCTAGGTCACTTTTCCATGTCATTCTTTGATGCAGGGTCTCTCAATCAAACCCAGAGCTCACAAAGATAGCTAGTTTTGCCAGCCACCTTGTTCTGGGGATCCTCCGTCTCTGCCTTGGAGGCTGAGATTACAAGTGAGCTGCCACATCCACTGAGCATTTTGTGTGGGTTTTGGAGATACAAATTCAAGCAAGCGCTTTAACCACTGAGCAATATCCTTGGCCCTAGTCCAGTGATATATTTCAAAAAGTTTTAATTCATATTGTGGCCTCCTGCAGTTTGTAGTCATGATTTTCACCAAAAGGAAATAAATTGAAAAAAAATAGGTTTTGGAATATGGGAAGTGTGTGTGTGTGTGTGTGTGTGTGTGTGTGTGTGTGTGTGTGTGTGTATGTTTACACTCAGTAAGGATACAGATCTAATTCTCAATGTAAGTTCCGATGGTAAATGTCTGCCTGTCTCTCTGATGAGCACAATCTCTGCTGCAGAGCAGTCCCAGTGTTCCTAACTGTGACACCCCTCTATGCTGTGACATCTGGGTTCACCTGAACAAGTGGATAACAAAGAATTCTTCCAAATTAGATGGTAAATGAGGAACAAGTCCCTGGTGCGTTCTTTCTGTTTCAAAGCCAGGTCTCTGAAACACGGTCCTTTAGTTTTCTGTTGTGGCCAATATAAACCAACGAACAGCATTAAAACTTCGGTGGGCAGCACACCTCAGAGTCATATCAGGTTGTCTCCTAGTGGGACACGACCCGTGAACATGCATAACTGAAGTACTGAACCGAGCAGTTCCCAGCTGTATCCCAGACATGTTTGGTTTGCCTGGACTTTAAAAAAGAAAAACTCTAAGTTTACATGTCTTTCCAGAAGGTTCCCAGGATCTAGTTTGAGCGCCACATCCCATCACCAATTCCCAGCCTACTGCTCTACTTCCTGCCAGCCCTCACAGGCATTTGGACCTGAGACCCATAGTGTCAAAGTCTCACCTGAAGGACCAAGGACAGGACCAAGACCAGTGACAAAACCTACATCTTTGAGCCACAGCCAAGAAGAAAGAGGACCAGGCTGGGAATCTTTTCTCACTCTGTTCTTCGTCATCAGGGTGGACCCAACCCATTCTCTTCCTGGAAGTAAAGCCAAAGGTACAGATTTTCAGGAGTCTCTTGGGCTCAAATTTCCTATCTTCTTAAAACTTATCCTTTCCTTCTCTTCCTCCAAATGATGTCCAGAGGGGAAAACTCCAATCATTCAAGCGCTCCCATTTGCTAGGCCCCAGCAGATCAAGGTTTCAGCAGAGAATCGCATGTGTAACTCGGAGCAGCAGGCAAGAGTTACATACAGCAACACACAAGAGCAAGCAGGCAGTGAGCTGGAAGATGATGAGTGTGCCATGGTATCACTGACCCAAGAAAATCCCTACTTAACATTACTTGGGAGTAGAGATGTCTGTTTTGGGTGTCTGACCAAGTGCTGGGTCTCCTGGAAGGCAAAACCAGTTTTCTAGGTAGGGCATACTTTCCAAGACAACTCATCCTGAAACCTGTGCTTCCTTCAAGAGCTGGTAGTAATACAGATAACTCACCAGTTAGTTCCCATTTTCAGGTTCCCTTTCTTGCTCAGCTCTCACACCCCTGACAGCCCTGCAAATGCCATCTTACTTTTAAGCAAACTTGGAGTCCCTGCGTCTCTCACCCAAGCTCACACAGATAACAGGACTCAAATGTCAAATTTTCTGGTCACACTTGGCCGCTACACAAGGCTACAGTGATAACTCCACTGTGAGAGAGAATCTTCAAGCCGGTGGGGTCACCGCACTTCTCTGGCATTCCTTTTTCAGGGTGACCAGTGAAAAGGGAACTGCCCTGGCTGTACTGCCCATGTGGCAGCCTGTGCTCAGTGAAGCCTGAAATTTTCTGATTGATAAGGCTTCCTCATATGCACTCTTGCTTTTAAACAACTGGTTCAAAGAGCATTTCGGGTTGTACACCTAAAAGTTGATGCTTGGCTACCCTTTGTTCACTTCAAAGCCATTAGAAGAGCTGGGTGGTAGCGATGCATGCCTTTAATCCCAGCACTTGGGAGGAAGAGGCAGACAAATCTGAGTTGGAGGCCAGCCTGGTCTACAAAGCCAGTTCCAGGACAGCCTGGGCTACACAGAGAAACTCTGTCTCATAAACCCAAAGAGGGGAGGGGATGACTAGAAGGAAAATGCTTTTATTTTCATCAAAAGCAAGCTCCTAGCTCACCCCAATACTATATTGGCAATTGTAAATTAAAACTACTTAAAATATAGGGTTTTTTTTAAGTAACTAAGTAACACCTAAATGATGCATGGTGGCACACACTCGTAATGCCAGCACTCAAGAGGCTAGAACAGGATAGAAAGTTCAAGGCTGGGCGAGACTACATAGTGAGACTTTATTTCAGATAAATAAATGTTTAAAAATAAAAAGTAAAGCTTGAGACAGGCTTGGTGATGCATGCCTGTTCCTCCAGCACTTAGGACACAGAGGCAGGAAGATGGTGACAAGTTTGAAGCCACAAAGATGTAAAAAACAAACTCTTAACATTGAAAGTGGTTTGGCCTCTATTACATTTGACACATCAGTATGCAAGTCTGAGCACACAGAGATTAAAGAGACATGGAGAAAAGCCATGGACTTTGAAGGAAACATTATATCTATGTTTGAGTGCTGTCCAAACGTGCATATGCAAGTTTTCTATGACCTGCATATACTCACAGCCATACTTTTCTTCTCTCCCTCACAGGATGAAACAAAGTAAGATGCATGAAAGTGGGCATTGTGATGATTGCCACCAGGCCTGATGACCTGAGTTCCATTCCCAGAACCGGCATGGAAGAAGAAAAGAATAAACTCCTATTTGAGTCACTCTCTGACCTCACACACTCCTACCCCACCGCACAAACAAATAAATTTAACTTTAAAAAGTTTTAAAGACACATGAAAGTACATAATGAAAAGGAAACCTTTCAAATGTTGCATTTTACCAAATCTAAGAATCCATTTTTAAGTCACAGCATTCAGAAAGAAAAAACATGATACAGATGCAAATATGACCTATCAATTTTAAGATGCTTCAAGATTTCATTAATGTTTACGTGAAAAAAAACTGCTTTAGAATTGTCACAGCATTCTTAACTATGTATTATGCTGAGAGCTGCTGGTAGTGACGGCTTTACCAGAGGCTGTGGGAGTATACAGCAGGTGACAACTAGTATTCAACAGGTTGACCTACGAGATGAATAACTCTCTGATGGGAAACCCCACTTGGCAAAGACCATGGGGTCACTGATTGTAAGTGACTGGCTGTACCCATCTGTAATTGTTCTCATGTGCCACTACATTTCTCCCCTAAGAACTGCCATGGGTGTTTTCCCACTGCTTGTGTGTTTATCTCATGTATGTATTCCATCTATTGGGCACACTTACAGCTGTGGATGGTCAAGAAGATGATTTCTGCTTAAACTGTATAATTCTGATGAACAGAAATAATACTGGGATTTTTTCATAACTGACATAACAAAGTAACAGTATTCTCAGTCACAAAGACAGCCTTTTACACATTTAGCTAGCTCAAAACAGACTAGCTGCCCCTGCAGAGAATACACAAAGACAAGTTCCCAAGTGTTTGTTGAATCAAGGCAGGGCATGAAACAACTTTGGTAGACATAACCCTCTGCAGTAATGGACTTTCTGCACGTACCCCTACCACTCAAGGTACAGCCAACTAATTGTTTATTGTTTAGGTCCTGGGTTTCAATGTCACTTCCCATCTGGGAACCCTGACCACTCAGAGCTACGTGTTACTTTACTCACCATACCCAATAAATACTACCTCCCTAGCCTGAGAGAAACTGTGTGACTTATCATGTGTTATGAGAATGGGTCAGACCCTGAAATTGTAACATATAATTGTCCAGAGTTTGGCTGTTGAAGTGTGTGTGTGTGTGTGTGTGTGTGTGTGTGTGTGTGTGTGTGTGTGCATGCTGAAAGGAAGATGTAGCTGAGTGTGTAGAGAGAGAATATGTGGAGATTTGTAACTTTGTGGAGACAAGAAAGATAAAGCTGTATAGAAAAGAGATGAGTATGTAGGACAGAGATGTGGATATAGGGCAGAGAGGTATGTGAAAAAGAGAGTGAGTGAATGATGTAGTAGTGTGTGAAGGAATGTAGCAGAGTGGAGAGAAGAAATGTGTATAGGAGAGATGTGGAGATATATATAAAGAGATGTATATAGAAGTATATGGCTGTGCAGGAGAGAGATGTATGTATGTAAAGAGAGATATATAGCTGTAAAGAACGTAGCCATGTGAAGATAGACTTTCAGAAAGAGATTTTTAAAATGAAGTAAAAGAGAAAGTTAGTGTCAGAAAGCATGTGTGTTTCCTTATTTTTTTTCCCCTCAGATAGAAAAGTCTAGCCCTCAGAGAGATAAGAATTTTTCCTAAGCCCTCACTGCTGTGGGATGTTCTGTATGTTAAATGTGTTGCTCTGATTGGTTAATAAACAAAACACTGATTGGCCAATAGCCAGGCAGGATGTATAGGCAGGACAAGGAGAGAGGAGAATTCTGGGAACAGGAAGGCTGAGGCAGAGAGATGCTGCCAGCTGCCACCATGAGAAGATGTTAAGATACCAGTAAGCCACGAGCCACATGGCAACTTATAGATTAATAGAAATGGGTTAATTTAATACATAAGAACAGCTAGCTAGAAGCCTGCCATGGCCATACAGTTTATAAGTAATATAAGTCTCTGTGTGTTTACTTGGTTGGGTCTGAGCGGCTGTGGGACTGGCGGGTGAGAGAGATTTGTCCTGACCGTGGGCCAGGCAGGAAAACTCTAGCTACACCTCACTACTCTGAGGCATTCTTTTTGCTACCCTGGAGTAGTTCTGGGAGCTGGCTTCCCAGGCTGCAGTAGTATTAGCCTGATAGTGCCAATGTCCCCGGCAAGTATTTTAAGCAACCCTGGCAGTTACAGAAAGACAATCCACATCGCGGTTTAGCAGGCCCTGCACTGTTGCTGCTACATGTCAGGTGCAGCAGGAAGCACCCAAGAGAATGAAAATACAAAATGGTATTTGGGGACTATCTTTAGCTTACAGAACAATCCACCCTACATTTCCTTAATGAGCTCACTTACTTCAGGTATAGTTACCAAGGTCGCTTGCTAGTATTTGCCCTTTTGGTTTTGGTTTGGGTTTTTGTTATGTTTCGTTGTTTTGTTTTTTGTTTTTGACAGGGTCTTGCTTTAGGTCACTGGCTGGCCTGGACGTTTGGCATGTCTTTTGACTTTTCAAGAAAATGTTCGTGGCATGACGATATGCCTGTGCTGCCATTGCATCAGTAACCCATGGAGATCACATGGTAAAACCATTGGCCTAAGAAATGTGTTGTATGCAAAAGAATTACTGAAACAAATAAGAGCTAGAGAGAGTGAAAATGGTGCCACTAAAAAGCAGGCAGCAATCCTGAAGGAGTCCCAGATGATGAGCCCAGCTTGCCAGCGCAGGTAAGAGGCTGTGTCTACACCCGTCTTCAGCAGACATTAGGATGTGAAAAAGACTCATAAGAAGCTGAGGAAATAGAAAGAAGCAAATTCAATTCTAGATTCAGTGAAGTCAGCAGCCTGAAACCTTGTACAGGGTGTTTTCTGCAACCCTGGGTCCATTCACCAATTCATCATTTTTGCCCACTGCTGTGTGTTCAGTTATATGAGGATGTGATTCCTTTCATGCAGTCGCATGTGCTTTTCTTTGAATAACCAAGTGTGTGAAATAAGTGATTGCATCTAATTAAAGATAACTCAGTAACTCATAGAAACACTGGCTGGTTTCATGTCCTCTTTCACGCAGAGAAACCTCAGCTACGCAAACTGGCAGATGCGAATAGACTACTTCAGAGCTCAGCTGCTCTCCATCAGGGAGAAACAGGTAAACTTTTACCTTTTTTAGGTAGAGCTCCCCCAAGTCAGGTGCAAGCCAGCACAGGACTAAATCTTGGATGTTCCTATGAACCCTGCCTCATTATGTATGGTTTTTACAATCTGAAGCTTCCCCCCCAAAACCCCATTATGCCTAGCCAAGCGCTGGGGCCCAAAGCACATGGAGCACCTGGCGGCTACCGTGTGGTGACGGCACAGAGGGAACCAAGTCTGAGTGCTGGTGCTCAGTCTAGAACACCAAAGCACTGCTGCCTCCTGGCTACACGTGGCTGGAAGAATCTAGCCTTTCTGGACATTAAACTGAATTCTTGGGCTGCTCATGTTTTTAACTTGTTCAATTTTTGAAAAGTCCTACAACAAGAATTTCATTCAAAGAGACCAGAGTTCTAAAATGAGCTGTTTGGGCTAAACAGTAATTGCAGGTGTCTTACCTACATCCCTCTCCATATTCAGGGTTAACAGAACCCACTCAGCTGGGAGTCTAACCATTCAGAATAAAGAACATACGTTTCGTTTGTCTCTCATGGTGTGGACCTGCCACACGTAGCTTTCTACAATCTGCTAGACACACACACAGGGCTGAGTTGTAGCCACTGTAATATAGAAAGAAGTCATGTGAGCACTTGCTGGCATTGATCCTTAAAAGCAAGTGCAGGTACAACATCCTGCTTCCAATCTTCTGCTTTTTCTTCTGGCTGGACATTGGAGCTCCCACAGACATCTCAAACCACGAGGTAGGCTTCAGGATAAAAGGTTTTGGCACCGAAGCAAAAGACATAAGAACCCCGAGCCCCAGAAATCCATGGCAGCCACGCGATAATTATCTCTAGATTAGTTAAAGGAAAGAAAGAAAGAGAGCCCTGTGGCGAGCCGCTCCTTTTCTTCCTGTTACAAGCAGCCATTCTAGTCCCCAATGGGAGATAACGTTCCACCTGACCTCTGGATCGCAATTCTTCATTCACCACAACAGTGACTAGGAATTCCATCTCCATATGGCACAGACAATGTTTTATAACTTAAGACTCTGTTAGCTCACTCATAAAATTGTTACATCTAAGCGATAAGGCAGCTATTAAAATTGTGTGACATCAAGGACATAAAGAGCTTAGCTTGGTGGCTGGCTGTGGTGTTTTCTGCTACGCTTCAGCAAGTACATGGCTGTGTCTACTGTACCTGACTCCAAGGCCAGTGATGCACTAAGGTCCCCAAAGACTTCTTCGAGACAGGCCCAGCTCAGACCTGCAATCCTGGTTCAGGTCACCTGTGATTTCCCTAGTCTCTGCTCCTTCCTTTGTACAGAATTCTATTTCTTCGATCTTATAATTCCAGTGTAGTCTAGAGCACTTGAAGCCATCCAAGTTGATCACATGACTTAAAACAGTTTGTAGCTATTTGCGACACAATAGTTCTAAGACTGTTTGATATGGCCAAGTGAGAATCTGATTCATTCTCCATCTGTCCAAAAAATAATAATAATGAATGAGAAATTTAGGTAATGAGAGGGAGGCATTTCTATTTTATTGTTTTATTTTTCACTTTTTATTATAGACGTTATCAGGCACACACAAAAGTAGATCAAATGATGTGGTTGATTCCTTTGTACCCACAACGCAACATTAATATCAAGACATAATCAACCTTCTTTCACATGTATAACCCAACTTCATGTATTCACTCACTCATTCATTCATGTACTCAGTCTTTTCCCTTGCAAGGCTGGGGGCCAATCCAGAGCCTCGTGCATGCTAAGCCACTAAGCTGTACTCCACCCCAACCCTCCTCAATGTATTAAAGTGCATTTCAGGCTTCATATTATTTATCATTAAATACTTCCATATGTAGTACTTTAAATTTTTTTGGCAGGCGGGGGGATGCTATTAAATTTCACCCATGCCAGAAGCAGAGCAAGATGTACCCCACCTGCTTGTTGAGAGGCTAAAGCTACCCACCGGCTCCTTGTCACACGACCCACGAAGAAACCTGCTACCTCCCCATTGGCTAACTTCTAGTAAAAGAGATACAGCATCCATTTAGCTTCTTGTCCCTGCTCACTGCCGTCCACACCACATGCACCTCTCCCAGCCCTGGTTATAGTCTGGGCCTTGCTGGCCAGCAGATCTGGAAGCTAGCATGGGATTAAGGTTTCTCCAGCCAGAGAAACGGACAGAATGTTCAAGTAGGAAGGAACTGTAGAGGGCAGGCGATCCCTTTCAGTTTAGAGATAAGAAAAAAAACGAGTCAGAAGAGGGAGCAAATTGATTCCCATCTGAAATGCAAACCCAATTATAGGACTGTGCCGGCTGCTTTCTGTGTCAACTTGACACAGCTAGGGTCATTTGAAAAGAAGGAATCTTAATTGAGAAAATGCCTCCATATAACCGGCCTGTGGACAAGTCCGCGGGGCATTTTCTTGATTGATGATGGATGTGGGAGAACCTAGCTCACTGTGGGTGGTGCTACCCCTGGGCAGGCGGTCCTGGATGGTATAAAAAAACAAACTAAGCAAGCCAGGGGGAACAAGCCAGTAAGCAACACTCCTCCAAGATGAAACAAACCCTTTCCTCCCTGTGGTGATTTGAATGATAACGGCCCCCATAGTCTCAGTATATTTGACCGCTCATCCCAGTTGGTAGAACTGTTTAGGAAGGATTAAGAGCTGTGGCCTTGTCGGAGGAGGTGTGTCACTGGGGTTGGGCTTTGAAGCTTCAAAAGCCCACACCAGGCTCAAGTCTCTCTCTCTCTCTCTCTCTCTCTCTCTCTCTCTCTCTCTCTCTCTCTCTCTCCCTGCCTGATGCCTGAGAATCAAGATGTAAGCTCTCAGCTACTGCTCCAGCACTATTCCTGCCCACCTGCTACCACGCTCCCTGCCATGGTGAAAATGGATTAATCCTCTGGAACTGTAAGCAAGCCCCCAATAAAATGCTTTCTTTTATAAGCTGCCTGGCCTTGGTGTCTCTTCACAGCAATAGAACAGTAACTAAGACACTCTTCAAGTTGCTTTTAGTCATGGTGTGATGGATTCATCACAGCAATAAAAATTCTAAAAAAGACAAGGACTCAGCCCTCTATCTAGGTTAGCAGTTCTTCACCTCTGGGGTTTCAACCCCTTTGGGGGTGCAACGACCCTTTCACAGAGGTTACCTAAGACCTCAGGAAAACACAGATATTTACATTATGATTCATAACAGCATCAAAACTACAGTTATGAAGTAGCAATGAAATTAATTTTTTTTTGGGGGGGGGGGGGTCACCACACCGTGAGGAACTGTATTAAAGGGCCACAGCATTAGGAAGGCTGAGAACCACTGAGCTAGGTATTCAACACAATGTACACTTCACCTGCTGCTTCCCCTCAGAACTCAACTTCTTGTTTCACCCCACTGTCATCTTTTTTTAATGAATATTATTACATTTTATTGCTTTAGTGTGTGTGTGTGTGTGTGTGTGTGTGTGTGTGTGTGTGTGTGTGTGTGTGTACCACAGCAGGCATGTGGAGGTCAGAGTACAACTTGAGGGAATTGTTTCTTTCCTTCTACCAGATCAGTAAGCTTGGCAGCAAAGTGCCTTCACCCAAGTCACCTTGCAAGAATCCCTACCTCAGTCTTGAAGTCCAGACATTTGGCATCCCTGGATTCCCCCCAACTGTCCAAGCCCAGCCTGCTCGTCAAGTCTCTCTCTGTGGACAGCACTTCCCCAGGGAATTCTTAAGTCCTCAGAACTAGGGTAGATAGAATTCCATGAGGTCCCATAGAACACCATATATCTCCTAACATATCACAACATGCAATACTGAAACTGTCAGTCTACACGAGTGTCTTTCCACTCCTGATGGTTTACTCCATGACAGAAGGGCCATGTTAGTATTCCATGTCTGACAGAGACCTGGAGATGGAGAGTAAGTGAACAACTTCCTGGGAAGTTGGTGAGAGGCATCTCTAGGAAATGCTCTGGTTTGCTGCTTCCCAGACAGTACTGGTGAAGACCATGGCGCTGTATACAGAGGAATGCTTTCCTGACAAGCTCAGGTCAGACTCTCAGCATTTTTAAAATGGATTCACCCAACAAAGCTGTCACACACTGCCATCTTGTATTTCTCTGGGATTGAAGAAAACAGATATTTATTTGTCTTTTCAAATCATATTAGCTTGAATTTTCTTTTTATTTTGGACTAGCTTCACATCCTCCAGACTCGCCTTTTTGAGTGGTGTATGAACCACCACTCTAAAAGAATATCCCTTTAGACCATATGTGAATGACAGAATATAATGTTCACCTCTGTTCTTACAATCACCATGCCCGTGAGCTGTGGACCACAGAGAACCATGTAATGGTGGAAAATAAGTTCATATACACATACATACATACATACATACATACATACATACATACATACATATATATACTCATATGTAGTATTAACAACATCTGAAGCTCAGTAGTTGAAAGACAATAACTGGTATGCACTCTTTCCCATTTCCTTTCAGGCTTTGCTACAAGGCTGCAGGGCACAGTGGTACCAATGCCCAGCTCCAGAAGAACTCCCCTGGTGTTACCAGGGGCCAATTCCTCCATCTGCAATCCCCACTATCAGGTTCAATGGGAAGTGATCTAACAGGGGTGGCCAAGAGCTAACGCCATAAAATTCAAGTCTGCACAACCCAATTTACTAGGATTCTCTTGGTGTATTTGTTTTAAATGTGGGCTTTAAAGAGACTTGAGCATCTAGCCTGGGAGTTTGAAATTGGGCAAAATATAGAACTTCTTTAAGCCATAATTTGCTCTTTTTCCAAATGAAGCTTTTCAGTGTACTTGTTGGCTGTACGTATTCGTTACCACTGTGGTCCTTGCCTGTTTTACATGGCTATAACAAAGGATGTGAGTTGAGGTTCCTTTAAAAAGAAGGCTCACAATCCTGGTGACCAGAAGGACCAAAGAGCATGGTACAGTTGGCCAAGGTTCCCTTGTTACAACATGGGAGAAAAGTGTTAAGGAAACCGAAACACAGAAAGGGACGTTAGCTTGACAAGGAACCAAGAAAGTCAAGGCCTAACTTGATAACAGCCCACTCTTCACAGGAATAAACCTACTTTTTGTGCTATGGGAATTAAACCCAGGGCCTTGCATATGCTATAAGCTAAGCAGGTGCTCTACCACAAGACTGTATCCCTAGTCATCTTTTCATTTTATTTTATTTTATTATTTTGAGAAAGGATCTTGCTAAGTTACCCAGGCTAGCTTTGAACTCACACTAGCACAGGCCTTGAACTCGGGATCTTCTTGCCTAAGCCTCCTGCATAACTAGAATTATAGACTGATACCACCAGGCCCAGCATGAGTCCACACCCATGAGCCACTAACATGAAGCAACATTAATCCATTCAAGAACTTGGAGCCCTCATGACTCAGTTTCTCTACACTAAGCCCACCTCTTAAAGGGTCCGCTGCTCTCACAGTGCAATACTAGGGACCAATCTTTCAGCACACAAACCTTTGGGAGACAAGTCATATCTAAAACAGAAGACTCAGTACATATTTTCTTTGACCAATCAAAAGAAGCACTCTTTCTGGAAAATTCCCCTCTTCTGTGACTGGAGTTGGAACTGCCCCAGCCCTACCCAGAACAATATCTAAAATGAAGCTGGGTCGACAGGGTATTCTAAAAACTAGAGAGTAAGTCAGACTGAATCTGCTGTAGAGCAGAGATTACAGACAGCAGGCCTAGGATCTGTGTTGCTGATGCATCAGGACAGGAGATCTGAGAAGAAAATGTCACCAACTAAAAAGAAGTAAGTTGGAGAGAAAGAGAGAGCTAAGAAGACAGTATTCCAAGTGCAGTAATTCCTGAAACCCACTACCTTTCCATACTTATAAGACTCCCAGTTTTCTTTTTTAATTAAATCGATTTGCACTGTATCTTTGGTGTATAGCCAAAAGAATTCTAACTGCTACAGGACACAGTGCTCATATCATTGTGACCCAGTACACTCAAGTTTGCTCATGTAAATGAATTATTTCTTCACTATTATACATCAGGAGAAAAAACTACGACATTCACATACAAGCTTACATTAAAATTTTAGTGACTGTTAATAAATAATCTTTAGATGAAAATGGAATCCCAACCTACACAGCAACATCTTTAATACATGTCCAGGTTAGAACTAACATTTATACAATAATTCATGGTCACAGAGCATAGCACTGGTCTGAAGAAATGGGATGCAAGTCACCAATAAGTAATAACTGTGCACTGTTTAGCCTTTTTGTCAACTTGACAGAGGCTAGATCATCTGAGAAGAAGGAATCTCAGAGGAGACAGTGTCTCTGTCACACTGGCCCGTAGGCAAGTCGATGGGGTGTTTTCTTGGTTAGTGGTTGACATAAGAAGGCCCCGTCTACTGTGGGCAGCGTCACCCCTAGGCAGATAGTCCTGGAGTGTTTAAGAAAGCAGACTGAGCAAGCTAGGTGGATCAGCCAGTAAGCAGCATCCCTCCATGGTGTCTGCTTCAGTCCCTGCCTCTAGATTCTGCTTTGAGCTCCGGCCCTGACTTCCCTCAGTGACGGCGGAGTGTGACCTGGGAGTTATAAGATAAACCAAAGCCTTCCCTCCCTGGGTTGTTTTTGGTCAGTGCTCATCACAGCAGCAGAAACTATAACTTTCAAATGTCTAGTGGCCACATTGGAAAGTAAAGTGAAGCAAATGAATTCAGTTTTGTAGAGCCTCTCACTTATCTCAGTAGACACAAAGCATTGCCACTTCAATGTGGAGCCGGTAAGATTTCCTTCCTACTACATACTTGATAGGCTTTAGATTTTACATTTACAGTGTATCTCATTTTGCACTAGCCTCTTAGAGTGAGTGGCTACTGTGTGACCCGGCAAGCACAGCTATAAAATGTTTCCATCTCCCTAGCAACCTGAGATGACAAGCTTTTTGTAGTTATAAAGAAAAAATCTAAAACTCAAAGAGGTAAACATTTTTTTTCCAACAACAACTAATCAGTGCACAGCACAGACTCCAACCTTGGCCTCTGGCCTCTGCTTCTGAAGCTCTGCACCTCACTCTGCAGTCTGCAGAGGAAGAACCATGCTCCACATGATCCTGAAGTACAGCCACATCAAAGGAACGCATGCGCAAAGGCCTCACCCATACAGTGCAGCCATGTACATAAGGACTCTGTTTCCTCTCAGATCACAGAGAGCCTTTAATGAAAAGAATCTCCAAATCCATACTTCTATGTGAGTGTGTATTCACAAGTGGAATTAATTTCTGTCACTAACATATGTCTTCCCTCTATCACGTTCTCTAGCCTGTAAGGTACCCTCTGTGTTCACAAAACCAAATGTATGTGTGCATGCATATATATGGGATGCATGTATGCACACAAACACACACACTCATATATGTGCATGCACATATATGGTATACATGTATACACACACACACACACACACACACACACACACACACACACACACACAGTTTCCATGGCTCTTACTAGCTCCAAAGTGGCTGGAACAGTAAGTATACATTTTGTTGAAGTATTTGGTCTTTACTTTTGGAAGCAGGTTTAGAGCCATAGAGGATAGAAAGTGTCTTTGTTCTTATGCTGGGGCAACTTATGCTTCAGAGCAAAACCTCTCTCTGGCCTTCTGTTTTCCTTTGCTCTGATCCTTTTTCTCCTCAAGGCACACTGTAATAATTAAGATTTTTTTCTTCCCCACGTCAGATTACTAAAACCGTAATTGTATTATAACAGACCATCCCACAGCACCTTCTCCTGCTTTTCCTGCCTTATATCTTACCAGAAAGACACTCTTGTCCTACCTTGTCTAATAATAGATCCTAAGACCTTCATTCCACATGGCTTCCTGCCCCATACCAGAAAGAAAGACACACTGTACAAAGAGGCCACAAAGAATCTGAACAGACAGGGTGTGCTGGCATCTCTGTCTCTGAGCATCAGACACTGAACTTCTTTTTCTGTCTAGTCACACTGGTACAGTTACCCATGCTTCAGTCATGCCTATGCAATAGAGTCCCCATGAAAACTCAGTGGAAGGGTTCAGAGAGCTTCTGGGTAGCCAAAACCTGTGGGGACTGAGGAAAGGGAACTGATCCACATCCCAGGAGCAGCCATGCCCCTGCCACATAGTTCCATGTGTGTCTTCATCCAGGACCTT